AAATCGGTTAAATAAAATTTCAAATTGTAATGTCAGTAAAATTTCATATTATAGAAACTCTGCAAAGTTTCCATATTCTGACAAACAAACATAAAAAAATAAAAGAATCATTAATCAAGTACTTGTGTAAATCGATTCAACTGTTATATTTATACAAAACATAAATACCTTCATATTTAAAGTTACGAAGTGTTCGACCTTGAGATACAATCGACCCACATTCCATGCGTACATAGACATTAGATAAGACTTAGAAAATGCAACATTTTTCTTTAAATAGTACCTTATCTGAAGAACAACCAGCAGTTGAAGGTTAAATTAAACTACGGTATGTTTTAATTTGTGGATGAGCTTAGATATAAAATAATTTATAAGCCGGAGCTACACATGTTAATAAAAATAGTGTTTATGGCTTTACAAAACCTACATACACCCAAATCAATAGAAGGATAAAAATACTAAAAAGCTAAATTAAATATGTATTAATTTAGTGCAAATATTTTATTTATTATATTTAAATAGTGTGGAAAATAAAACGATTCTTACATATATATAACTTTTGCTTATGTTTACGAGACATTCCAGTTACAAAACGACCCACATACCGAGTACATCCTGTATATTAGAAAACACTTGCTATCAAGGATGCCTCGGTCACGACTGACCGAGAGATTAATAATTTCGATCCACTTTAAAATTTAGTTGTAATAAAGGTCAACTTTGTTGCTATTTTTTGCCGTTCACTATAATTGTTCCAAAACTAATTTTACAATTTTACTTTATATAGCCTTAATAACAGTTTTATTTTAATTAAAGTTGAAATAAATACGTAAAAAGATTTTATACATAACAATGAATTAATTAGAGTAATTAAACGAAAATTATTTTTTCAGTACATAGATTACACTAATTCTCTTATTGCACAACTATTCGCAGTTCTTATGACGATGATAATTTAAATGTTGTTTACAAATAGTCATTATTTTAGGATAGTTGATGCTGTTAAATCAAAGTACCTACATGAAACGTTTTCTTCACCTAGATTTTCATATTCTTTGTGATAAAAGTATATACATGGTAAGAATCTTTGTTCCATTACTTATATAATAAATCGGAATATATACTATATCAAGAGACATATAATAAACATACACCAGCAATTCCGAAATGGGACATAATCTTTGTAGAAAACGTATGTATGCAAGTGTATGAATAATATATGAATATATTAATACAAAGAATCCTTCATTGGAGCACGAGCAGAACGCGTGTTTCTATCCGAGTCTGGCGAAAACATTGCGTGAGCGACTTGAATGGTATTTAGTAAAAATTCACACAACGAGAATCAACGTGTTTATTGCATCTATACGCGATAAAATCGATTCAGTCTACGAGATATCGATCTTGACTTGAATCGTTCCAATTTGACACAGAAATTTAAATATATCATATGCTAAGAAGCGAGTACATGTAAAATGTTTGTTAGCAGTTATTGTATATGATGACCATAGTAGATTATGACGTAAACGAGTCGAGAGTTACACTTAATATGGCAACTTCTTTCCTACAAATAAGTCAACAATCTAAAGAATTATCAAGTAAGTATTCTCTTAAAAAGATAATGTGAAGCAATATTAGTTTTCAAATGGAACTATAAAAAAAAATTAAACACCGAGCCAATTTTCTCTCGTCAATTTTAACCGAAGGTGCGATCCCTAATACGGATCCAGGTTGTTTTATTAGCGTCAAATCGGCCAATTTAAAGCATACGATTATTTAAAGACAACATGGCACATAAATATATATAGCACATAAGTTTTATTACGCTTCACTTTAAATATTACGCCATCTATAAAGACGGACTAAAAGAAACTCTGGTTGATATTTTAATAATTTGATACCATTGATCTGACGATGGGCACAGGAGGTTATTAAGTTCTTCAATAGCTACTAGTAAAACCTTCGTGTTTGGGCTTGTATGATTTGTATTGACGAGTTCCATAACATGCACTTGGAAAAAAAAGCAGTTTTTTATGTACTTTATATATGAGAATAAATGTCCCTATACACTATAATTAATATGTGAAAACCAATTATCATCCAGGTAAATTAAACAACAAGGCAATCAGTGCCAGATGCTATAATGAATCACTATACTGCCGCTTTATGTGCCGACGCATGCATTTTTAATTTAATCGCTCTTAATCAACATCTAGAACTTCATTTATTCCGCATCATTTATAACATATTTTACTTTGAAAAATAATATAAGAAAAACAATATCTATAAATAATACAAGTTAAACAAAAATGTGTTTGAACGTGAGAATTGGTGATATCTAGTACTTAATAAATAAATTATGATATTCGATTCACTATTGGCGCAAATATAAATATAATCTTTTTTTTAAGTACGCTCCATATTTATTATAATATTCCTCATATTTATAAATCAAAGATATAATAGATTAAGCTCCTCATTTAAGGGTAGATGACTGTTAAAATTGTACTGGGTACAGGGATAGACAATTAAAATAAATCTATAGATATAACAAAACTAGCGACTCACCCTCGCTTCGCTCGGGTTCGTCCCTAGCTTGCTTCCCCATACAAACTTTCATCCCCATTTTCACCCTCTTAAGCGATGGTTTCCGGGATAAAAGTATCCTATGTTCTTCCCAAGGTCTCAAACTATCTTTTTACCGAATTTCATCTTAAACGTCACAAACTTTACCTCTTTAAAATATTAGTATAGATTCTGAGCCGAATCCGTACATTAAATATTTTTTTTGGAAAATCTTATTGAAATAGTTATTATTATCGATACAGAGGCCGAGTCAATAGTTTTTAGAATTTTTGTCTGTCCTCTGCCCGGGAAAGCATCATGAAAAACGAATGACGAACGATGAAATTTGGTATAATGATAGCTGGTTATCCGGGTCAACATATAGGAAACTTTTTATTGCGGGAAAATATCTCAGCTCTGAGAAATTTATACTAAACGTTAAACGTAACTAGGGACGAACCCGAGCGGAACGAGCGTGAGTCACTAGTTTTATATAAGAATACTTATACGTACAAGATATTTAGATGAAATAATCATACCATGGACTTCTGATTTTACATTATGAGTAAAGAAAAAAATAATTATATTAAAATTTTTAACTGATAACCAACTATCACGGTAGGTTCTCACGTATTGCTTTTGGTCGCGGTATAGCGTATCTAACAACTGATAAGGACACCGCTTCCGTCAAAATTTCACCGCGCGCTAGAAATTGTTCCACATACCTGCCGATTGCGTCGACGTAATCGGGTTACCTAATAGGATTATACTGTGCATTTGTTTCCTATTTAAAGGACATTGCATTATTGTGAAAAATAAAATTAATTCAAAGTCCGAATGAAAAACTCCAATAACGTATCGCAAAGGGAATCGAATCATTTACAATATAACCCGAAAACATTACGTTTTGTTTGTTAGTTTGTATTCTCGGCAGTTTCTCGAAAACAGACATTAATATTTTCAATATTCTTTCCTAATGTGCCAGATAGTGTAATAAAATAAAACTATTAGAGTTAATACATCACCATTCTTTGCTCGATCAATTATTTTTTTGATATTTTTGCTTTAATACAACATTTTTTTCGCCCAAGGTTGCACACGGTGAGTCGATAAACAAAAACATATTATTATTCACGATAAGTGAAATAAATTAATCAGTTCAGTATTAACAAGGACAACAACGTACACACAAACACAAATTACCTCCGTACAAAAGTAATGTAGATTAGGAATTGACCTTCAACAGCCATTATTTATTAAATACTATATTTAATTTTTACTTATCCAAATTAATATAGTTTTGGATTAAATTAGGTAATACTTCTAATACAAGTACATTTAATACAAAACTAGCGTTACACCCTCGCTTCGCTCGGGTTCGTCCCTAGCTTAATTCCACATACTCATATATCCCCATTTTCACCCCCTTAAGGGATGATTTCCGGGATAAAAAGTATTCTATGTCCTTCCCAGGGTCTCAAACTATCTTCTTTCCAAATTTTATCTAAATCGGTTCAGTAGATCTAGAGATTACTTCCTACAACGTCACTAACTTACAATCTTTACCTCTTTATAATATTAGTATTTAGTATAGATAATATTTCTACACTTTCATTTAAAAAAACTGTCTATACAGCGTTGCATTACAGTATAAACTGTTATAAATCACTAATCGGTTGCGTTTGAATTGTAAGGAAATATTATTTTTTACTAGAACTTATGTATGCACTAAAAAAAGGCTTAATGAACTACAACAAAACTAAGGAACTGAATTAAAAAAGGTCAAAAAATAGCATTAGTACAATCTTAAAATTTAAACATCCATTTCACTATTTATTTTGCATATAAAGTACTTTATTTTAATTATTAATGCATTTCACTTGACTAAATAAAGTATTAAAGCCATTTATTTATTTTATCATTAAATTTTTAAGAATTTATAATCTGTCATAATTTGATTACACTGGCAGGTAAGTATGATAAATTAATTTAATACTTTCTTATATTTACGCGAATATTTAACATTTTAAATAAAACTATCTTTTCGGATTATTTCGCAGATTTATTTTGATTTTTGGTTTCCGACGTCTCGAATCGAATCGTGGTCACGGGAGATAGTCTCCCTAAAAATTAATTTTATAAACATATAAACACGATAATACCATTTTTTAATACATATGAAGATATATTACAGGTTTTTTTTTAAATTGGACGAAAGTTTTTAGAAGTATATTTAGATATTTTATTAACACGAGTGACAAATAACGCCGTTCGCGTAGTGAACGGTTTGCCCAACGTATAAACACATTTTCATTTTTCAATTACGAGATCCCATGACGTTCCCAGTCCCACCCACACGCTCTAATTAAAGAATGTAGGTACATATTTTTCTAAACCTGGACACCCGCCATGACATCACATGATTTCCGACTTACCTTCATGTCGTCGAGCATATCGCAAGCCGAGATGAGAGAGGCGGTGTCAGGAGTCACTTTTATTACGCCCATCTTGAAATTGAGAGTTAACACACGGAGGACCGAGCGGACCGTTTACGTGACGATAACTCCGGGAATGTTTAAATTATTTACTTCTAACGAGTAACGCGTGGTTTGTTTTAGGACAACGCGCGAGACGTACTCACGCAGTGACCGAGCCGCGCGGACTGAAGCAAAAGTGTGTATCTACGGGAGTCGAGTGAAAGGGTCGTGACGTCACGTCACCCCTCCCCCGCAACTTGTTGCTATATCTTCTATCCTGCTCTTACGTACGTTTTTTCGTATATGTTTGTCCTTGTCACGATTGACAGTTGCGTACGACGCGACGTGTGTACGTTAATTAGTTATCGTTGTATAAATTTTAGCGCATTTTTTTTAATAATAGCTGAAGGTCACAGGCAAAAGTAAAAGCTGTAGAAAGCTTTTATCGTGGCCCTTAAAAGTTTTTTTTAGATTAAAATGGTTTAATTTAGACATTACTACTGATAGAATAAGAACGATAACATTTTCATTCGTTTGGAAAAGGCATTTTTCATAGATCCAAATAGTCTATTTAAAAATAGAGTGAGTTGTAGTTGTAAATATATTATTTAAAAATGTAGGTATACTTATGTATATTTTAATAACGCAAACGGTATTAAAGAAATTAAATGTGGCACTCGGAGACTGCCGCGGTAAAGCTATTGCATAGCATTTTTTATCAACTTATGCAATTATAATTATTTATTTATTTTATTAATGCAGTATTTTTTTCCTTGACTTTCTTCATTAATAAATGCACTTTGTTTATTCATATTTAAAACACTTTGTACACATATTATACGAGAACAGATATTCACTGTTGTACATAGATGATAAATACCTATACACCTATATACTTTCTCACAAACAGCTGATTACGGTAGTTTTCCAATACAACCAATGCCACCTAAAGGCGGGTTGCTGAACTAAAGAGACAAGCGTGATATTTCAAAAAGTCATTAAAAGTTCTGGTATTTATCGATAGATGGAAAAACTAAAAAGTACACCGCTGTGCCGGTCGGAGTGGGTGGTGTCAGGTTTTTTTCGTTACAGAATTTCTGGATTCGGTCCCTACGCTCAAGGCCCGCGATAGAAGCTATGCAATAGCTTAAAAAATGTACGAAAAATAATGTTAAATCTTTTGATAATCAAAATAAGGCTTTAAAAGTAATAACGATATACAAACTAGATATTTAAAAAAATACAACAAAAGTATGAAATTCAGTTTTAAAAACATGACGTTACGATGATATGCCTACATTATATATCATTGTAAACAACATTTCATAAAACAAAACATGATAATAGAGCGTTATAAAGACTTCAATAACAATGCGAATAGATTATAATTATATCAGCGTTTAAATTAACACGTCAAAGAGATTCATTTAGTCCTTTCAACCGGTGTTTTCTCAGTTGTGTAACTAACGAGCGATACAAAGGCTAAAAATTATAGAAAATCCTTTTATATTTCACTTTCTTTTGATAACGTAATACAATATTTTTAGACTGTGAAAATGTTAATTATAAAAATAATTAAAAATAAATTCAATCTTGCTAAAACCAAAACATAACCGAAACGAAATAAAATTATGAAAGTTAAAATTTAATTAATGAGAGAGACGCTATGCCATTATAATAATAAATTCAGTTTGCACGAGGTGTTGGTGAGACACTATGGACCTGAGATTTCCAGCCTTTGCCTTGGCTTTATATAAAAGGAGACCATGATTGACTGGGTGACTGATTTATTAATGCATAGCCCAACCCGCTGAACGGATTGGTTTGAAATTTGGCATAGAGATAAGAATGGTATACAGCTTAGAAGAAGAGGATATCTGGAAATTTGACCCCTAAAGGGCTGAAAGGGGGGTTACAATTTTGACGCGAGCGAAGCCACGTGCAAAAGTGGATAATGACCAAAAACGGAGATCTAATAACCTTAACACATAATTTTGGACGTAATTTCTTCAATAAAAAAAACTCGGTTATGATTATTACTCATAAAGAATAAAGTGTATTTTGGCGCCTTGGTTGCTCATTTTATTAAAAGTACTAAATTTATAGACTAAAATCATAGGTTATGCTTAACTGAGTGATAGACGGTTATTATCAACGTCCTTAACCTTTCAGCATGTACTGCTTTAGACTTACACAACATTAGTCGTCACAGTCTAATTTACTTGAGGGTCGTAAGTTCGAAGCCAGCGAAAATAAGATGATGCAATTTGAATGTTACATTTAGTTACATTTAGAAATACAGATACACTTTTTCCTATTTTTCAAAGAAGTCAAGTGTTTCATTTAACTAGTTATGTATATGTCACCGTAAAAAAATTATAAGCACCGCTACATTACAATCTATCTAGCGAGATTGTAAACTGTCGATTCGACAGATTACAATCTCGCGAGGTAGATTATATTCTAGCGGCACTTACAATTTTACGGTGACATATATAAAACATTTTACAGATCTCCGCCGCTATTCACGACATAGTACCTACTATAATTGTTTTAAAAAGTCAGAATTGTTTATGTATGTATGGCATTTAAGAGACTATTTTTGCTAAAATTAACGCAATGATTGATGGGCGCCACCTTTCCACGCCAAGAATTTCGCTCATTTCGAGCCTCACATATTACCGGGCTGCATGAATTATGTTTTACTGTGAAAATAAATCATATTTAGATAGAGAAAAAAAAAACATTATTTCGTGAATAGCCTTTCTTGATCCACTGCCTTATGCGTATAGAAACTTATTTAGTACGAGTACCTACTAGCGACTCACCTTCGCTTCGTTTGGGTTCGTCCCTAGGTCATTCTTTAAATTCACATAACTTTTTTTTACGAACCGATTGAAATAAAACAAATACTAAATGTTAAGTGAGCTTACCACAATACATTAGTAAAAGCCGTTTCTGAGACAAGCGCGCACAAACGCACAGACAAACAGACAAAAATGATAAAAAACAATGTTTTGGTTCTATGTTGTAATAAATAGCACTAGTAATATTTTTTCTCAAATATCTTCCATGTACCTACAGACAGCGATCAGTTACAATTTTATTATATGTATAAATATAGATGATAAAGAATAGATGTATAGATTAAATATAAATGTAATGATTTTTGATTGAAGGATGATACATTATCCAATCAATTAAATATATTATAACAACAGCTAAGTCCAGCAAAGTCTAGTCGTTTTAGAGATTAGCCGAAACAAACAGACAGCCAGATAGACAGGCAGACAAAAATTTTAAAAATGATTTTTTTCTTATAAGTACTATATATACTTTTATATGTATTTAGTAAAAAGCTGTTATTTTGACATTACAAACAGACACTAAAGTTTTATTTATCTGTATAGACATAGGTTATGTATATCGTATATGCATATTGTGTATATCGGGTGAGACTGTTAGTATGTACTTTGTATAAAGTCCATATATCACGCTATATACCGTATTAACTTTTTATTTATATAATATATTTTTATAGAATCAATTGAAATACTATTAAGAAAAACGATATTCTATTACATACTTAAAATAATATGGCTACAGATGTTTTTTTTACCATTTATTTTTCCAAGTTATCTAATACTAAGTGTCAACAGTTAGGTTTATCTTCAATACATATAATCAAATTCTAACTAAGTCGAATCTGTGCATTAAATATTTTTTGGAAAATCTTATTCTCTTATAGGCGACCACTCGACACGACCAGTGAGAGTTAAGGCGCAGGACCAACGGCTTTACGTGCTCTCCGAGACACGGGGGTGAAACACCGCCAACTTCCCAACTCCGGGCTGTTACTGAGCTCAATAACTAAATTTGGCCCGACCCGGGACTCGAACCCAGGACCTCCGAGTGTGCAGCCGTGCTAGCCACTACACCACCGAGGCAGTTAAATTCATTATAACCGATACCGTGACAGCATCACGAGAACACCACTTGAGAGATTTTGATGAAATTTGGTATGATCATAGCAGGTTAGCCGGGTCAACATATAGGATATTTTTTACTATACTAAACAATAAAACGTAACTAGGGACAAACCTGAGCGGAGCGAGTGTGAGTAGATAGTTTGTAATATAAAGGAAGAATGGTTAGGATGTGACTGAGTGATTTGCAACCTTGGCCCACGATAAAACGAAAGTACGGTGGATTAAAAAGTGGGTCACTGTTGAGTCAAGGTGAAATGTCTACCTACTATTAATTTGTTTTTAGATTTAGTTTTGAATATTTTGTTATTTAATTGTGTACACAAAATAATAAATAACCGCTAAAATGTCGTTATTAATTTAAGACATAAGTACATATGTGGTAAAGGCTGATTGCATAAAGGACAGGACACAATTCTGTCTGAATTTTTTGTTTTAGTTTTTCGTGCATCTATGCCAATGTTGAGTGGATATAAGTTCTATTTAAAAAAATAGGTTGTGGTATCCACCCGAAAGTGTGGTATTTATAATTAGTTTTAAGTCATATTGAATGTACCTTTTTTAGTATATTGCTTTAAAATTACTATTATTTTTTAAATGTTAGATTTAAGAAAAGACAAAAAACCCAAAAATTAGTCAAGAAGAGGGAGGTGTTTTTAAAAAAAGTAGCTAATAAATCCGTTTATCTAATCTCTACAAATAGCTTATATCCTTTACTTTTTAGTGTTAACCCTATATCTATGTATGTATACTTAATACCATGAAGAGGAAAGAGGTTTTTGTTTGTTTGTTTGTTTCTTTGTACCGAATAAACCCCAAAACTACTAGACCGATTTAGATGAAATTTATTAAGAAATTAGTTTGAGTCAATGAAAAGGACATAGGATAGTTTTATCAGGAAATCATCCCTTAAGGGAGTGAAAACGGGAATGAAAGCTTAAAAGATGAAGTATGTTAAATCTAAATATGAAGTGCAGTATTACTTTGGTACTTGTCACAATTCAATTTATTTCATCACGTATATTTTATATACCTACACATATT